CGGGAAATGAGCATCTCACAATCGTTGCTAGCTTTTACTCGGCCCGTTGGCCGATTAATTTGCTTTATAAAATTTTCATCTTTTCATTATTGTGCTTTCTGGTTTTTTGCCAAGCCATGATAAAATCTAAAGAAATCAAGAATGAACAACACAATTTGAGATATGAACCACCGTTCCTGTATCCCTAGAAAATGGTGGTAACCACGGACTCACCTGCCAAACTGGTTTGGATTGAGATTTTTATCGGGTATCAAGGAACCATGTGATTATAAATTAGACTTGATCAAAACAGGCCAAAACTTGAATTCAGCCTGTTTGATCGACTCATGCCAAACTCTAATTATTCTTTACTTTTAAACTTTCTATTTGAAAATAAAAAATAATGAAAGAAAAGAGATGACTGCAATTCGCCATTTGCACATCACTGATTTGGGAATAAAACTATAGAAGGAGAAATATAAGGACTTAAAGCAAAAAAATTTTACCACCACGGAGAAATATAAGGACTTAAAGCAAAAAAATTGACACTTCTGGACCCGTTTAAATCCGCATGTGTACGGTATGTTGGCTCGTTCCACAGAGGAAAAAAAATTGACACTCCCTATTCTACCCTTCCTACAAACGCTCATGGAGTAGGGAATTTGAAATAGGAGAAGGGTTTTTTTCTCTCTGTGATTATATGTTTTAATTTAAAAAGATACAACAAATGTACTTAGTGTGATTGGTTATGATCTTTGCTTTTTTTTAAAGTGGTCATGGTTCAAATCCTAGTAAGTGTCCTTTTAATGAATAAAAAAATAATAATTGTCAAGATCAAAATGTCCTTCCTACTTTTTTTTTTGGTAAGAACAGGGCGCTAAGGGCGCCCTAACCTTTATTGAGCACGAACAAAGCGGGGAGTCTCACCCCCCACACGATCAAACAACAGCCAGTACAGAAGTTTGGTGTCAGGCCTGTCCAAAATATGCACCCCAATAGAACGGGAGTGACCCACAGAAGCCAAATAATCCGCGGCGAAATTTGCTTCGCGGAATACATGATCAATCCTAACGGTCCAGTTGCGGTTAAGTCTCTGTCTGATCTCTACGACCTGAGTGAAGTGTGTGTGTCTCGGAGACGCCTTCTCTATCAGGTTCTTTGCAGTGGACGAGTCAGTCTGTAGAATCACCTTCCTGGCTCCCTGTTCCCAGGCGAGGTCCAACCCATACACAATACCAGCCAGCTCTGCACGAGTGATCGAACCCCCTCCAAGGTTCGCAATGAATGCTTTGAGAAAACGGCCATCGCTCCCCCGCGTGATGCCGCAGCAGCTCGTGCTCTCAGGAGAGAAGGTGACTGAGCCATCTGTATTGACACAGACCCAGTCCTGCGCCGGTGGTTGCCAGCCAATTTGGCGCTGCTCTCGGATTCCCCCTCCTCCGAAAACAAAATCCTCCTTCTCGAGTGCTTGAATGGTCTGGTCTCGGAGCTGTTTTGCGTGGAACTGGATTTGTGTATGAGTCTTCAGCTCCCCTCGGAACACGTAGCCATTCCGGTTCTTCCACAGTAGCCAACATGTCCCTGCAAAAAGAGTGCTGTCGACGGTATCACTCTTATCAGAAATGTAATACAGAGACCACCTGTGTATATCTGGCTCGAAGAATCGAGAATCAGGCTCCTCTCCTAGTAACTCCGCCCAGGTCGCGCGGGTGTAGGGGCAATCCCGGAGAACATGCAGCGTCGTTTTCGGGCCTCCTACACAGATTTTGCAGCTGGTGTTGGTCGTTAGGTGCCTCCTTCCTCTCTCCGCGTTCGTCAGCAGCTAGTTATGGTTCAGCAGCCAAAGGAACTCCCAGATTCTTTGCAAAGTCGGTGTTCTCCACACCGATCGCTAGATTGGTTGGCCAAGAGTTTGGTTCGCCGTGGTGTCCGTCAAATCATACGCCGTGCGCAAGGTGAATTCGCCATTTGGGGTGAAGCGCCATACCCGCACGTCGTCTTCCGCCTACGTCGGGACATGATGGAGCATAACCTGCAAAGCAAGCGGCCGGGGTAAGTAGTATTGAAGAAACTCCATGTTCCACTTACCATTGAGCACAAAGTCGGCGACAGGCATGTTGAGCAGCGCCAGGGGAAGGTTCTGCACGTGGTCTTTGAGGGTGGTGGTATCGTCCAACCACCGATCGCTCCAGAACTTGGCCGCGAGGCCATTCCTCACGTTCCACGCCGTCGCCTCCTCCGTTAAATGTGCAACCCGCAGCACTCCTCTCCAGAGGTTCGAGAGCCGCCCAGTGGTGATAAAGTGCCTGCCATCTGTTGTATTCCTCGAGTACTTCGAGAGGATGACCCTGGCCCACAGCTCGTCTGGTTTAGTGATCATCCTCCAGGCAATTTTCAACATGTAGGCTTCATTGGTTCTGGTAGAGTCCCTCAACCCCAAACCCCCTTCATCTTTCGGTCGGCAAAGCGTTTCCCAGTCGACGAGGTGCATTTTGCGGCCCTGGTCGGTGCCACCCCAGATAAAAGCTCTTATCTTCCGATCAATATACTCCCTCACACTAGCGGGGAGGAAGGTTGTCTGCATTGTATAAGCCGGAAGGGAAGCCAATACTGACTGAGCTAGAGTGATCTGTCCTGCTAGAGATAGCGTGGACGCTTTCCATCCTGCCAGGCAGGTGTCTATCCTGTCAATCAGTTGCTGGAAAGTGGCCTTCGAAACCCGATCGTGAATGACCGGGACACCCAGGTATCTTCCCAAATTCTGAGTAACCGGGATCTGAAGCTCATCACTCAAACTATTCCGACATTTTGTGGTGGTGTTAGCTGAGAAAAACACTCTAGACTTTGGCCTACTGACTTGCTGTCCCGAGGAAGCCCCGAACCGCCCGAAACAGTCATTAATCACCTGTACCTGAGCTCTGGACGCCTCCCCAAACAGGATCAGATCATCCGCAAAGAAGAGATGAGAGAGTGTTGGTCCGGCTTGCGAAAGCTGAATCGGTTTCCATCTGCCCCCTCGTACAGCTTCATCAATGATGTGCCCCAGTCTTTCCATGCAGAGCGTGAACATGTAGGGGGACAGAGGGCACCCCTGTCGGAGACCTCTAGAAGGCTGAAAGTGCTCCGTTAGCCCCCCGTTCCATTGGATTTGCATGGAAGCCGATGATATGCACGCCATGGTCAGGTCAACGAAGTTGCTGGGGGCCCCTGCAGCAATTAAGGTGTCTTTGACAAAGCCCCATCTTATCCGGTCATAGGCCTTCGCTAAATCCACTTTCAATACCATCCAACCTCTCCTTCCCCTTCGAGCCCTCATCGAATGTATCACTTCCTGCAAGATGCAGATGTTATCGGTGATATGTTGGTCAGGGACAAAGCTAGTTTGGGTTTCATGGACCAGGGAGGGCATTAAATTCTTTAGGCGTTCTGCCAGACACTTAATAACCGCTTTATAGGACACATTACATAAACTAATGGGCCTGAATTGATCGATGGTGGTTGGTTGCTTCACCTTCGGGATAAGGACCAGAATTGTGGAGTTCACTTCCTTAATCTTCTCTGGGTTATCCCAGCAGTCGAGGGCCAGTTGCGTAAGTGACTGACCGACCGTCTCCCAGCATTTTTGGAAAAAGATTGGGTTGAGACCAACCTTCCCCGGTGCCTTGAGAGCACCCATTGCCTGAATAGCACCGCGAATTTCCTCCATATTCGGCGTGATGGCGAGCGGTTGCCACCTCACGGGCTCGAGGGCTGGAAAGTTCCCCTGGAGGGCAGGTAGATCCCCCCCTCATCCATGTATAGCTGGCTGAAAAAGACCCGTGCCATTTCTAGGAGCAGAGCCTGATCTTCGATCCAATTACCCGCATCATCCTTCAGCATAGCCACCCGATTCCTGCTCCTTCTCCTGAGGGTCCTGGCGTGGAAATATGCCGTGTTCTTGTCTCCCGAGCTAATCCACTCGAGTCTGGATTTCTGACACCAGAGAAGTTCTTCTTGAAAGAGTACTAATTCGAGCTCCTCCTGAGCTTGTTGGAGCTGAGCGGAGTTCCCTGTCCCATTACCATTTTTCTCTAGCTCTTCAATGCGGCAAAGTAGATTATCTTTCCTCCTAGTAACATGGCTGAAAACATTTCTGTTTCACACTCTAGCATCCTGGGCCAAAGCCTTTGCCGAGGACGTGAAGGAGTGGCCCTTTGCCCAAGCTTCATCCATCATTTCCCAGAAGTCTTCATGTGTAAGCCAGGCTGCCAAGAAAGGGAAAGGCTTGGGTCCGGCGGGAGCGTGAAGCTCTCTTAAGGAAACTAGAAGTGGCTTGTGATCCGATTTGTTCATGCGCGGCAGGTGCCTAACCACTGTTTCTGGAAAAGCTGAGATCCAAGCATTATTTGCCATGCCCCGATCAAGCCTCTCTCGGAGACCCGTTCTGAACCATGTGTAAGCCGGGCCAACGAACCCCAAATCTATCAGCTCGGTATCTTGAACTACATCCTGGAATTCGCGAATTCGGGATGCATCAAACGGGGCACCCCCTAGCTTTTCAGATGGGCTGATGATAGAGTTGAAATCACCCATTAAAAGCCAGGGCTGGGTCATCCCTTCAGTAATGGACCGTAAAAAGTCTCATAACTCACGCCGTTGTACCGGTGCAGGGCAACCATAAATTGCCGATAGCTGCCATGCAACATCCTGCTGCATCCGCCCCTGTACCTGCATATGGAGACACTGTTGGTGAGTGTGAATTCTGGTGATGGTAAGGTCATTCGAATTCCAACTAACCCAAATTCCCCCAGAAAAACCAATTGCATCAACTACAAGTTCGTTATCGTAACCCATTTCTCGAATGACTTTCAAAGCACAGTCCCCACTAATTCTAGTTTCCAAAATAATCACAATTTGGGGTTTAAATTTCCTACGATACTCACGAAAAGCATGTAAAAAACCCTTGCCCCCTGCTCCCCTACAATTCCATGAATTTTTTTTATAATCCATAAAAAAGAGGGTTGGAAAGAGACTCCCTTGAGTTACGCGTTCGACGGGTGGATCCCGTCGCTATGTTTCCCCGAAGATTGTGTCTTCATGCTCTCGTCCGGAGGCCCGGAGCTCATTGGGTGGATGTCCGAGCTAGTGTCGGGTGGGCGGCCATTCAAAATGGTGGTGATCGATGAAGGAACTTGAGGTTCCAGTGACTCCCCACCCCTTTGCATGGGAGGCTTCTCCAAGACCACGTCCTCCATGCGAGTGTGGGTTTCCTGCATTGCCTGGTCGGTCTCAACGTGCTTGGACAACCTTGAGTGACTCCCGTTCCCCACAACTTGTGTAGGCTTCGGGTTTGGCTCCCAGGTTTCACTAGTTGGACCGCTCTCCTTCGAAGCACGTGTTCCTTGTTCCTGCACCTTGGTGTGTTTGTTTCGGCTCTGGTTACGCTGCTGCTTGGACTTATTCGGCTCGCTGGTATCAGTCTCGGGCTCGGATGTCGCCCTGTGCGAGTCAGACTCCTCGTCCAAAGCCGCAAACCGCGATCCCCCTGCCCTCTTTTGCACTTTGTCGACGATCGATCCTCCCCAGTTTGAATTTTTCCCCACCTCTTTCTTGGAAGGACGGGGTTTGCGTTTAGCTATCATCCACTCCCCATAGAGATTCTCTGGTTGCGAAGGCGAGGGGGTGGGTGGGTGGGTTCAGTTTCAACAGTTTCGGCTTCCATTGGTACTTGCGTTCGGCTACAGTAGCATGCACCCTGCTCAGGGTATGTCCCGCAGTTCAAGCATATTTTCTCCAAACCTTCATACTGGATAAAGTACCTCTTGCCCTTGATGGAGAACTTCGAGAGCAGGGGTTTCGTGAGATCCACCTGCACACAAACTCGGGCGTAGTCACTACGTGCTGCTGTGCGTGTGGCCTCGTCTATTCGAATCGGTCTTCCGATGCGTCGACCAATTCTCATTACAGCATCCTCATGAAAATACTGAATGGGAATTTCAAGCAACCGGGCCCAAACTAGAGTCGAGGAGACTTCATGGTTGTACGGGTCGAAATCTCGGTCCCACATATGCACTGAAAGGTAGTTCTGTCCGATCATCCATGGACCATTCGTGACCGCCCGGTCGTAGTCAAGGCCACTGGTAAAGCGGACCAGGAAATAGTTGTTCTTCATGGACGTGACTTGGATCCCTCCTGCCTTGGCCCATATCGTGTTCAACCGTAGTGAAACCGCCGTGTAAGACACTGACCGACCCAATGCTTGAACGACGAGAGCAGACCGGAAGTTGTGACAGTACGTACGCTCTTCCGCCGCCGTGAAGTAAATTGTAGGACACATGGGGTCCTCCTCTCCAACAAAACCCTCGTCCAGGCCGTCCTGACGCATCGCCGCTGCGGTGTCCTCGCTGTCGGAGTCAGTAGTGTACCACTCGTCCATGCGGCCCTCGCCGCCAAAAAGCCTACGAGCCGCCCCCGTCCCCTGCGACCAGACTTTTGGTCTCGGGCTAAGCGGTGGTGATCTCCGGTCGGCTGCTTCCTCCCGGCTGGGCACGCCCTCTGTTCCTACATGGCTTTTCGGGGCCGTCGGTTTCGCCCGCTTTTTGGTGTGCTGTGCCTCCCGATCCCCTTTAGGGTTCGGGGATGAAGATTCCAGAGGCGGCCTACGTTGGCCGGCAACCGCCTCGGGCGGTGGGGGAGATGAAAGCTTCCCCCGGCCGGCGGCACAACGTCCGCCGACATCCGTTTGAAACCCTAGCCGCAGATCGCCTTGCAGTCGCCCTCCGAGAAAACAGGAGCTTCCGAGGAGCGTCTAACACTGCTTATAGTTTGAGTGTCCTTCCTACTTTCACTCTAGATGCAGAAAATTTGAAATGGGTCAATTCATTAAAATAATAGGATATTGATTTTTTTTCTATAGAAAATAATAGGATATTGATTAACTATAAGTAAAAAGATAGACCTCTTCGACTCTTCCATTATATTAATATAAATGATCTGATTTAATATTTAATATTTTTTATTTTACATTTTGATACTTAATTTTTTATTATTATTCAAGAACCTCAACCCCACTTGCACTTTGTGGCAGCAGGTATACTAAACCTGGGGAGTACCTGCATCAACAACATTTTCAAGGCTTAGCACCCGATATTGGGGGAGAATTCATCTCTAGCACTCGCGGTGCCTCCGGGAACACCAAGTGGTGTAGCGGGGTTCGAACCTGAGACCTCACACATCTCAAACTCGAAAGACCACACTCCCGACAAACTCGGTTGTGTTACCTTTAGCCTTAATTTTTTTTTTAATGAAACATATCATTGTAAAATTATGTTTTGGCACCTATTTTTTTATTATGATATTTAAGCACCTAAAATTTTCAAATTTGCATATTGTTCCAATATATGTCATTTGGATCCATAGTCCAGTCCAATGTGGGCAATGCGTTGGTCCATACCGGACCACACCGAACCAAATCGATATTTGGACCAGACTAGACCGAATCGACTATAATATGGTCCGGTTCTTGGTCCTATGAATTTTAAAAATATTGAAGAAAAATGGACAAAATTTATATTTGGACCGGACCAAATGGACCAAAGCGGTCCGAATGCACTATTGGTCCGGTCCTTGGTCCTAAGATATCTTTCACTATTGGACCGCAATTCTCCTGAGTTTGGTCCGATCCGGTTCGGATCGGACCGATGCCCACCCCTAAATCCACCAATCCATTTGATTCATGGATGTGCTTGGCCTGTGAACTTCCTATGCTTTTTTTGTACAACATCCAAAATCTTATGTGTTCGACGAAGGGAAAATCTGTGTCATGCACATGAATTTGGCGGCCTATTCTATACTTATCAATGTTGTCAAACCCGTTTAAGTCATTGAGCTGATTAATCAAGTGATTTGAGATTCAAAGATTTGATCGGGGTCTAATATGTTTAAGTCGTTTTGTACAATTTCTAAATATATATATACAAATAAGATAGTAATTTAAAAATTTAGTAACTTAAATAAAATTGATCTATCTATTAGCCACCATACCATACCAACATGTCACCATTTTTCAACAAGCAAGGTTGTATATTATGGGAGAACATGATTAAAAAAATACACGGTTGATAAAATATTAAACTTAATTATTTCTTTGATAATGAAATCCATTATTTCAGCAGCCACATTTTGCCACAAACATGAGCATACGTGAACTTATCAGCAATACATAATGTACAGAAGCAGCCAGATACCATGCATTCAATGGCAGAGAAATACAGAAACACCATTCAAGTACAAGCAAGCAGATCCTGCCATGAATCCTGAACCTCATGGCCCCATTTAGATTTATTTCATGTCGGCTTTGTTCAAATGGGAGACCATTCCATCAAAATGGTCTCCACCCACATAATAAAACAGAAGAAGCAGTTGAATGAATCTAAGTATAAAATTAGCCTTTAGCGTGCAGTGAAGTTGGAAGTAAATGGAAGTAATCGTATCATTGTGCATCATTAGTTCATTACCCTGCCTGATGCCTCTCTCTCACATCTCCAGACAACCCAAAGTGGGATCATCATCATTACTCTTTTCCTGTCTCTCATAATTCATCATTGTCAACACAAATTTTTGTTTGTTGTGAATAGAAGTCATGAAAAGAGAGCTGTGGAAGTGGGCAATTGTAGTAGATTGAGTTTAGCTGCTTGCTGATATGTTTGGGATTGAGAGTTGTGTGTCTGCTGATGGGTTTCATTAAATGGACCCATGTGGAGCTCCATTCCCCCCTGAGCTTTGAGATTTGCCCTCACTGTTGGTTGGTTGGTTAAATTAGTTTCTTTTGATGGTTTCAAGAGAATCAATCAGCAAAAGGAAAGAAAACCCCATTTTCTAATCTGGGATTTGGGAGCTCCTAGGCAGAGAGGAAGAGTGGTCAATCACTTACTGTGAAACTGTGAGTGATTCCACCAACTCCAAGAAAGAAAAGCGCATTACTTTTGTTCTTGAACCCCCCCAACTTGATTCCTCTGCTAATCTTCCTTAATTGTGTGGATTATCCCTCCAGCTCTCTGAAAGTTTGAACCTTTTTTCACTCTTCTTCATTGCTTTTGCTTTTTCCCTTGCCTCTTTGTTTCCCTCCCAACTTTGGTTCATAGAAAGGAAAGAGCTGGGTTGGAGCTTTTCTGCTGGATCTGCCCTTCCTGTCTCCAATCCATTTTCTCAAAGCTATTTCTGGTCTTTGTGAAATGGATAAACCACTACGAGCTTGGACTGCTCAAACATGGCATTCCTTCATCAACTTTCTCGAACCCTCATCTTTGTTTTACATTGCACTGCTGTCTTCTCTAGCTGCTACTATGATCCTATGGTATGGCTTCTCTCCTATCCTCGTCTCAATCCCAGTCCTGCTTCTCTCCACCATCTTCATTTCATCAATATTCTCAAAGAGGAAAGTTGTCACTGCTGCTGCTGTTGAAGAAGAAGAAGAAGAAGCTAAGGAGAGACCGAGTGAGGGTTCGGAAACTATGGTTGCTGCTGTTGTTCCAGAGTTGTGCGTGGCAGAGAAGACTGACAATGAAGCTTGTGAGTTGCATGTGTATCAAGTGGATTCGACGGAGTTCCCATCAGATGATGAAAGCAGTAGCGATGACTCTTTAAGGAGTGAGATTTTTGAACTCAAATGGATGAAGCCCTTCAACAACAATGTTGGTCTGATGAATCGTAACCCACGATTCAAGGGTTTTGCTTGTAACTCACAAGCGAGAGCACGAGGTAAGTGTCGAAAACCTATTTTGTTTATTGATTGATTCCTCGAACTAATGCCGAACTTACATATTTATATAAAAAATAACCTAATACGTAGACCTAATACTAGCCAAACTCTTATTCCTACTCGGCTACCTCTCTCCTTGCCAACCAAGAAACCCAAACCCACAAGAAACCCAATACGATCCTCTACCCCTAAAGCCCAATACGACAATCTACTCATCAATCCTTCCCCCTCAAAGAACCTTGTCCACAAGGTTCTGGTGTTTGACGAATTCCACGGGGGACGACGAGGATAACAGCCGTAGCTTTTGCAGCGTCGAGGCTTTCGTCGCTTCCGAAATTTCCAGCTCAAGCTCCCCCCTCTAGTCTTCTTCCTCCTTCCGGCTGGAACTCCCCGCGTGGCAGTTTGAGTACCAGCTTGCCCAAAAATACCTACGCTATAATCGTTAGCATGTGGAGCAAATAGAAAGGTGTTTGAGTGACTCCTCCCACGTACAGCATCTTGGTCCCAAGGAAACTTCAACCTTGGACACTTATTTGGAGGTTCAGGTACCGGCTGCTGCAATACAATTATCATACCACAAAATTCCAAACCTGTTGACGGACACCGCGTTAGGAGAGGCTTCTCGAGCGATCCAAAAAAGTTCATGTTGATAACACCCGCTCCGTCTTCCTTCGGCTGAGCTCCTACCACCCGCTGAGCATCCTTCGGCTGTGCATCCTCCGCCTTTGTTTCGGAGACAAAATTGTGCGTGGAACCATTACCAACGAGCAAAACCACCGGAACTCCCTTGATTTGCGCATGGAATCTTAGGGTTTGTGGCCCCGTCACTCCTGATGCCGCCTCCAAAGAGATTTTCGCAATCCCACCTGCCTTGTTATCATTGGCGTCAACGCAGGCGACGTCGTCGTCGTTGCGCCTTCCTTCGGGAATGATGGCGCAGTTTCTGTTCAGCTCTCGTTCGCGGCAGAATGCCGTGAACCTTTCACGCGATTTTGCTAGCTGCGCACAAGAGACCTTGGTTTGCTCGAGCGATATCTTCGCATTGCGTGCAAGGGCGCGGTACGGGCCTAGGTCGAGGACCATGTCACCCTTCCCTGTAGGAAGCGTAACCAGGCTCTGATACCAATTGATGAATCGTAACCCACGATTCAAGGGTTTTGCTTGTAACTCACAAGCGAGAGCACGACGTAAGTGTCGAAAACCTATTTTGTTTATTGATTGATTCCTCGAACTAATGCCGAACTTACATATTTATATAAGAAATAACCTAATACGTAGACCTAATACTAGCCAAACTCTTATTCCTACTCGGCTACCTCTCTCCTTGCCAACCAAGAAACCCAAACCCACAAGAAACCCAATACGACCCTCTACCCCTAAAGCCCAATACGACAATCTACTCATCATGGTCAAAGCTTAGCATTCTGTGAAAGCTCTGCTTCTGATTACGATGAAGTGGAAGATGATGATGATCTCATTGAGATAAGTCTTCCTCCAAATGAGAGCTCTGTTTATGTCGATGAAGTGTCATCCATAGGAATGCTGTCGTGGGGAAAGTCGGGTTTCTCGAATGAATTCGTCATTAGAGAAGAAGAAGAAGAAGAAGAAGAAGAAGAAGAAGAAGAAGAAGGGATGATGGAGGTGGTGGAAGAGATTGATGAGGTGAATGAAGAAGATAACTTGATTGAGATTGACCTCTCAATTGGGTCCATAAAGTTTCCCAGCTTTGACATGGAAGGCTGATATGTGACAAGAAGTTAATGGAATGCAAGTTGTGGGTTCTTCCTTTCATGTGGAAGATGTTGAATAGCCAAGGCTTTAAGCTGTCCTGCTGTTTTTCTCTCTTTCAAGTGCTTGTATTCTGAATCTCCAGCAATTTTGATTTAGCTCAGAAGAAGAAGAAAAAACTACACAGAGATCATCTGTGGTCTGGTTCACCTTTGAATCCCCAATCTCAGAACCACATTCTTTAATACTGAAAGAGGGTCCAACATTCCATTCATTACCATGGAAACAGCTTGAATTACTTTCAAATAATTCCATCATCAGCAAGCAATCACCCTCCAATAGAGTGGCAGTGTCAAGCTCACACAACGGCATTACATATCCAAATGAAACCTGCTGCCTGCACCGTCTCAATAAGTTAATGACTAAGAACATTAGACCAAGCTTTCAAGCTTCCAGCATCTGCCAAAAGCTCCGAAATAGACCTGAACCTCAGCTGATTTCCAAGAACTCTATTACTCTAAGCCAGCTGCAGTTGGTATCAAACCATGCTCAGATAGATACTGATCATAGCAGAATTTACTCAAAATGTCTCATCCCAATGTCACAAAGAAAGGTTACAATGGTGTGACCAGGGCCAAGCGACTGCGCCACTCTAACAGCACCAACACAGTTCATGGCTGACGAGCTCCCAACAAATAGACCGTAGTTCTTCAGAAGAAACCTACAAGATCGATAATGTTTGACACGAATGACAATTTAGTCCCCAGCAAACAAGTATAGCTGTACTTTCAGAGTAACGAAAAAATATAGAAAGCACTAACCTTGACATTTCGACAGCTTCCTCATCACTGCCTCGAAATGCACCATCAAGTTCAGCCATCAGAAAAGTTCTGCGTCAATCTATTGATCCCTATCTATCCCTTCGGTTATGGTATCAAATGGGTTCTTCAGCCTATTCATCATCAATCAGTGAATCTATCATAAACTCACATGACACATGAGTGACAGCGGAGCCTTCGTCTCCTGTACCAAGGGTGCCTCCGGGAACACCAAGAAGGTGGTACTGGGATTCGAACCTGGGACTTTGTCACATCTCAAACTCGAAACCCAACACTTTTACCAACTAGGCTGTCTTACCATCGGCGGTGATGAAGTCTGCTGGTTACTCTTGATATTCAATAACAAATCGTCTGTTTGCACCAAATTTATATCTCAATAATTGGCTAAATTACATGTTTGGTCACTCAAATTATACAAAATTTTCACATTTGGCACCCGAATTACTTTTCTTTCTTATTCGCCACTAACTTTACGAATAGTTTCACCGTTAGTCACCGGCCGTTACACTCCGTTAATTTGTCCTACGTGGCAATCAACTATAAGGTTTGACCGTTAACTAGATGACGGAAAAAATCCAAAGGTACCACTGTTTAAAAAAAAAATTCCAAAAATACCACCCAATCCCAAAAAATTCCAAAAATACCAACCTTTTTCAAAAACCGCCACCCCACCCTGCGGTTTACACGAAAACCGTTTGTCGGGGGCGCGGTTATAAATTTTTTTTTTTTGGACCAAACCGCTGGGTGGGGTGGCGGTTTGACCCAAAACCGCCACCCCACCCAGCGGTTTGGTCCAAAATTTTTTTTTTCGATCAACTACTAACTTCGGCCGAAACTTCAAACGAACGTAACTTTGCACTCGGGTATCCGATCGATGCGATTCTTTTTTTCATTTCGCATAACTTTTCAAGATCTATAACTTTTAGTAGGATAAAATTTTCAAAAATGGAACTATTTGTGGATATACGGGACCTTGAGAATAATTGTACCTTTACTTTTCACAAATCCATGTACATTTTGAAATTAGGGTTATAGGTATAATATGCCCTTCTACTATGATGTTTTATCAAACATGTCCCTCTACTATTTTTTACATCAAACATGCTCCTATACTTTGTAAAAATGATCAAACATGCCCTTTTGTTAAAATTTTCATCCAAAAACCATTAACCAAGGCCGAACTTTGGTTTGGACGACACAAATGTCTAAAATATCCCTAATAATTTCCCTTTAGAATTTATATTTGTTCTTTTGCATATCCAAATAACTCAAATAATTTCACTTTGAAGAGACCTAGAGGAGTAAAACGAGGGACAAAACTATCATTTTCCTCCCATTTGCCGATGTCGGGTCGTCTAAATATCGGTTCAACAATGATTGATGATTTTTCTAATCAAAATTTTAACAGAAGGACATGCTTGATAATTTTTTCAAAGTACATGGACATGTTTGATGTAAAAAATAGTAGAGGGGCATGTTTGATAGAACATCATAGTAGAGGGGCATATTATACTTATAACCCTTGAAATTATGATTATATTAAAAGTTGTAGATCTTGAAAAGTTATGTGGAATCAAAAAACAATTAATAACATTCGGATTTTGGAGCACAAAGTTATGACCGCCCAAAGTTTGACGAAATGCGAGACCCGGCGGTATGCGGCTTGCAAGATCTCAAAAAGTTTGCGGCCTCCATTTTTTGAATCCGAATAACTTTTTGAGATCTTGCAAGCCGCAAACCGCCGTGTCTCGCATTTGTCTCGAAAAAACGTCATTTGCCACCCCGAACGAGCCTTTTTTTTTATTTCGTCAAACTTTGGGCGGCCATAACTTTGAGCTCCAAAATCTGAATGTCATGAATTTTTTTTTTGATTCCACATAACTTTTCAAGATCTACAACTTTTAATATAATCATAATTTCAAAATGTACATGGATTTGTGAAAAGTAAATGTACAGTTATTCTCAAGGTCCCGTATATCCACAAATAGTTCCAGTTTTGAAAATTTTATCCTACTAAAAGTTGTAGATCTTGAAAAGTTATGCGAAATGAAAAAAAGAATCGCATCAATCGGATACCCGAGTGCAAAGTTACGTTCGTTTGAAGTTTCGGCCGAAGTTAGGAGTTGATCGAAAAAAAATTTTTTTTTGGAACAAACCGCTGGGTGGGGTGGCGGTTTTGGTCAAACCGCCACCCAACTCAGCGGTTTGGTCCAAATTTTTTTTTTATAACCGCCCTCTAGGCCCGCGGTTTGCATAGAAAACCGCGCCCCCGACAAACGGTTTTCGTGTAAACCGCAGGGTGGGGTGGTGGTTTTTGAAAAAGGGTGGTATTTTTGGAATTTTTTGGGATTGGGTGGTATTTTTGGAATTTTTTTTTAAACAGTGGTACTTTTGGATTTTTTCCCTAGATGACATGGAAATTAAAAAAAATTAAATTTCCACCTCATCATTCCACTTACTTTTTTATATGATTTATCATATTAATTAATAATATAATAAGCAAAAAAGCCATGTCCGCTGATCTCGATTCCCTGCACAGCTTGCCCAAAATTCGAGTCGGCTGTCGGGATCAGTCCCCGGAACACTCCCCAGGCTTGCAACGTCGGCGACAAAGACGACATTGTAGTTCTAAACAATAATTCATATCGAAATAATTCGGTGGAGAAGGAAATCGTCAATTCTAGCGACGAGGAGTGCCAGACACCAAAATCGGCAGAATTCAAGATCCCAGCCATCCTGAGTTGCCCGCCGCCGCCGAGGAAACCGAAGAGCACGGCGATCTCCTTCAAGCGGAAGCTGGTTTCGGAGCTGGCCTTCATTGACGTGGTGCTCCGATCTGGTTTCCAGCTAGCCAAGGATCAATGAAAAAACAGGGGTTGCAATGTGATTCTTTCCTTCTCCAAAGATTCCCCTTGTTTTAGCAACTTGAGAGATTGGAGAGGGGCCAGACTTTAGCTCCATTCTAATTTATACTTGCTCATTCATCAACCAAAACCATCTTGTTTTCCCCTGTTTCTATTCCAGCCTCCCCTATTCTCTCTGCCTCAACTGTTTTTACTCTCTTTCCTTGCTCCTTGACAAAATGTGGGCTTACACATCGTCTTGTATGTGGTTTCTATTCACGGTGGCCCTGATACTCCCCGTGGTTTCTCCGTCGTCGTCGTCGACAATGAGCTTTTTCTTCACTACTACTGTTTTCCATTTGGAGAGAACGTGGCCGACGAGGCCGACAACGATGATGACGCCGAAAAGCATGACCTTGCCGAGGAGGCTCAAGAGGACCTTCATGCGACCCTTGTTGTGGCTGTCGTAGAAGACAAAGATAGAGAGGTAGACGAGCTCAAGCGCCAGGCCGGAGACCGATCCCGATTTGATTTTGGGCAAGCTGGGCCGGGAATCGATGTTTTTATATTAATTAATTAGTATGATAAATCATATGATAGAGGACCGTTGATTCTAGGGAAACGTAGCACTGATTTCAACTCTGTCTGAAACAGAGGACTGTTTTCAATCTTTTTGCTCTGTTTTTTGGTGGTTTGAAATAGAGGATTGATACAGTGGTGCATGTGCCATGACTGAAAATTATGAAAGAGTAAAATTGGCTGAAATCTCATCACGTCTTATCGTCTACTTTTTGCATTCTTTTTTTATTATTATTTTGAGATATGACAATATAATGTTAGAAAACGCCTACCCTATAATCCCTCCCACCCAAAGTAACAAAGCCAAATGAAAGCAACTCTAAAACTAGACAGAAAAAGGGCTTGTATTGCCACATTATGGGTAGCCCGATTGACAGTCCTAGAGACACACAAACCTCTAAGCCTATGTCTAGAGTAGCAATCATCTGACTATAGTCTTTGAGCACCGGTCCTCCAAATAAATATGTGTATATCCCTATGAGAAACTGGCAAAACTTGACTCCAAAATGTCCTTCTAGTGTGAGACGATGGAGGTCGATGTTGCGAATTAAGAGCATACCTTCTACTTTTTACATTCTCTGCATATCATCTTCGTTCGTTAGTTCGTCTCCTTCCGATCAACTCATTTCTCTCACCACTAATTTTTGTGTAGATTAATTCTTCCATATTAATTAATTTGTTTATAAAATCCTTTTTTCCTTGATTCTGACGAGTTTTTGATGATGGTGAAGTTGGGAGGAGGGGAGGATTTGATGATTGGAAAATTACCATTTAATATTGGCAAAATACACTTGTATAGTCAAAACTTTAGCGTTTGTGTCAAATAATAGCCAAATTTGGAGAAATATCACTTATACCCAGATTTTGTAAAGGGTATTGGGCAAATATTGCCATTTTCGTTAGATACTTTAACGATGTTATTAACACTATCAATTTCTTTGACGGTTCGCCGACTAGGTGTCAACTCAGCCCACATGTCAATGCCAAATAAGGCAAAAGTGACACGTCTTCAATTTATTTAATAATAAAATATCATAAATTAATTAATAAAAATAAATAAATACAATTAATTCATGAATTTTTAATCCTTCCCCACCTCACTTTCCCTTACTCTCTCTCCCAGCGCTGGATGGCTACAGCGGCGCTACGCCAATGGGAATTTCTATGAGGGCACTTGGAAGAAGAATCTCAATAATGGAAACCCCACCCAGCCTTCACCGGGAGGTGGTCTGACTCTATCGTCGGAATTCGGGGTAATTAGCATAAAAGGTTACAAACATATTCACTTTTTACGAAACGCTCATAAACCTTTTATTTTGTACGTTTCAGTAACATACGTTTGCGAGAATAACGAAATAGTCATTCTGTCAATCTTCATCCAAAAAATCGTTAGTTTCGTCCAGTCCATGCACGTCACATAACTTAAATTATTAGTAAAAAATTTATTGACCAAACCCAATTGAACCGGACAACCCAACTAAAAACCCTAATTCTATACCACAAGAAATCTTGGAGACTGTCATTTTTCACTCGACCCTACAAAGGATCTCGAGTCTCCAAACAACACACTCCGAACATCACCCTTCGCCTGGCCTGCGACGCCTCTCAGTACCAGTTGCCCAACGAGGGTTTGAATTCCCTCATCACTTGTTGGATCTGGAGCGCTGTCGAAGAAGATGAGAGGTGAGAAGTGGATCTAGATTTGGGTCAGGATTTGGTTTTGAACGACGACGACGATGGGAAATCCCTGAAGTTTGCCCCGTCTTCTTGGGATCTTTCTCGCAACTTTTTCTGCCTCATAGAGATGGGCGGACATTGGATGATGATGAGAGTATCAATGTTTTGAGATGGATTGACTAAGAATTGGGATTTGATGAGCAGCCATCGGATTTTGGGCAAGGCTTCATACAGTAGGGCCTAGTGGAAACCCACAGGCTTCACGATTTTTGGGATGTCTGGTTCAATTGGGTTTGGTCATTAAATTTTTTATTAATATTTTAAGTGATGTGGCATGCTGACTGGACGAAACTAACAGGTTTTTCTATGGAGATTGACGGAATTACCATTTCATTATTCTCTCAAATGTTTGTTACTGAAACGTGCAAAATGACAGGTTTGTGGCCGTTTTGTACAAAATGAATAGGTTTATGACCTTTTATGCTAATTACCCTCAAAATTCCCCTCTGTTTCGGCTCTCTTTCGATGAGCTCTATTTGCTGGGTAACCGGCGAAGTCCTTTCGAAGAGAGAAGACAAATCGCAAACAACAGAGCGCCTTCTTCCTCCATTCCTCCCCAATCTCCTCTGTTTTTCAAGGTCGTCAAGTGAAGAGCACTTCCCGGCGAGCGATGTCTCCCCCGATATTGCTACCTAGACTACCTTCGCCCATCACAGCTTGAAAATCGCCCTCCCGCTAGCCGTTCTCATCCTTCGCGGGTGGGAGCTTTAGATCTACGTTTGGGTTTTGCAATGGGGGGATTAGGTCTCAATGGAATTGGGAGGAGGGAAAGGAAGGTCTACGGTGGTCAAGCTTCATCGGCGTTAGAGAAAGATTGCTCAGCTCCATACGTGCGGAGTGCGATCCTTCAGCTCGACGACAATCGTGGAGTGCGATTCTTCCGCTCTAGACGAGTTCAGTTTCCAGCAGGAGATTTCTTGGCTCAAGGCTCTACGGTCGAGGCTCGCCCATTGCGGCACCCATAGGGGGAAGCTTACCGTGTTGTAGAGCGATTCCCGCGTGAAGGAGTTCTTCGACTTTGAATTCGGGAGGTCTAGGGTTTTGGAACTGCTCGGTTTGGAGTCGAAGGTGGATAGGATGTAACGGAAGGGAAGGGGAAGCAATTGCTCGCTCCTATCTTTTTTTTTTGTATTTTGTATTTTTTTAATGTTAAATACACATGGCAATGTTACGGACAAAACGTTACCATGTCAGTTTTTTGTTAGTCCAGTCGTCTTGTTAGATGACAACGTTAAAGAATTGGACGAAAGTGGCTATAAGTGGCATTTCTCCAAATTTGGCTATTATTGGCACAAACGCGAAAGATTTGGCTATACAAGTGTATTTTGCCTTTAATTTTTATTGAACGGAATTAATTTGCATGACTACAACGCAAATATAAATATTTAATAGATGAATTTAGTAATTATATATTAATTAATTATTAATTTTATCGTAATTAATAAAGGTCGTCAGATTAGATAAACGGTATGGACAACCTAGAGTATGAGTATGCTATGTGCCTGGAGTATAAAAGTTATTACCATATATATCAGCCACTACCATATATAATTACAAATGTTATTAATTAATTTCACCATATATGTATGTGGGGAGTTCTACGGTACCGAGTTTTAGAGAGACAGAGCAATTCCTAGAGAGAGAAAGCGGCGAACCAGAGTTCCCAAGTGCCCTAGCTTGATCTTCATCACCATTGGAGCCCGGCTTGAGCTTGGAGAAGTGCTGATCGACAACCAGGAGCAGAAATCCATCCTTCAAAGTATGGTTTCCGCATCTGAATCTGCTTTTGCTTCTCTCTCCATGGAGTAGTTTTCCCATTCATCTAGGTATGGAGAACCCTATATTTGTATGTTAGGTCTGATTGTATGAATCCAAATACAGATTTTATGATTTGATTATATTCATTTGAGGCTTGAATGATTGAATGACTTGAATCCTGATCAAATTCCTGTTATTTCTGCTTTAGCCTAGAAAGAGAATATCCGCCTAGGTTAATAGAGCACCCTTAATTGAAGGTAGTGAATTGGCGACTTTAGTCGAGGAGCCAGTTCACTATTCTGTACCGAATTTGCTTCGGTAGTGGAGGTTTGGTTCGTTAGGGCCTCAATCTGTTTACTCCGGTGGAGGTTAGTCGCCTGCTGGGGACTCAGATTGAGAGGGTCTGGAGACCTTTAGTCGAGACTTCAGACTATTTAAGAACCTTCTGCAGTATAACTATCATAGAAACTGAACTTGGTAATTGCAATCCGGCTTAACTGCAGTCTAGGGGGAACCATATCCGGGTGATCTCTCTCGACTTGAAACAACCGTTTAACTTGCTTTGTGTTTTTGCTTGTTTGAGCCTACACTTAAGTTTCACCGCTAGATAATAAGAATTCACTGAGTAGTCATCACATCTAGGACTCGGGTTGACATTAAAACCCAAACCCGCTATACTACGCTTTAGGAAGTGGTTACACTTGGCCATTTTCTAGAGTGACAGTAGGAGTGGGTCAAGTTTTTGGCGCCGTTGCCGGGGACGGCTAGGTTGTTGAAGAAAAGTGATTTCTGTTACTTTAGCATTTTCATTTTCGCATTGACTGTTTGTTCTTTCCCACTTGTGCCTTCACGGGTTTGCTTGCTTGATTGTGTGCAGGTAGTGCATGACCTGTAGCCAGTCGGGAGGTTTACTGCCGTTGAATCCGGAGATTGAATGCACCTGTCGCCAACTCAGGAGACAACAACGAGCTACACTGGCTACAGAGGAGCGCATAGACGACCATTTGAGCAGCGAGTCCGAGGACGAGTACGAGATGGAAGGAGATTACAATCCACACCAGGGGAGTCCTCACCAGGTTCCCCCGGTGAATCAGATCTTGGGGAACAACCCCATACCTCAGGCAGATGGGGTTCATCATCATCCACCGCCGCCGGGTCCCACCTTGGAGTACTACTACACTCCACGGATTGCTGACATCCGCCCTGTCATCCTCTATCTACCCATTCCAGCGAACAACTTCGAGATCAAGCCATGCTGGATTCAACTCATTACATCCTCTATCCAGTTCCATGGCTTGAAGGATGAGGAGGCAAGGGTGCATCTTTCCCGTTTTCTGCAGCTAACGAACGGGTTCAAGCTAAATGGTGTCTCTGATGACGCAATCCGCCTTCACCTCTTTCCTTATTCTCTGGCAGGGAATGCTAAGAGGTGGTTGGAGACCCAGCCCCCTTTGTCCATCACTTCTTGGGACGATCTGGCCGACAAGTTCGTGCACAGGTACTACCCAGCATCGAAGACCACAGAGATCCAGCGGGAGATCACTCACTTCCGCCAAGAGCCAGACGAGTCACTTCGTGATGCATGGGAGCGGTACATGGGATATTTCTGGCAGTGTCCCCATCATGGCTTCCGTGATGCATTTACAGTGGGGAACTTCTACAGTGCCCTCTCTCCGGACAGCCAGAGGGTGATTGAGTCTCTATGCCCAGGAGGGGATATTCTTACTAAGACTCTACCCGAACTGAACCAGATGATCAGTACCTTGGCCGCCAGAGATCATTCTGGGGGCAGAGCAGCAGAGGCAAAAATTCCCGGGACCGTGGTGTGCACGCCATGGAGGCCAGATCCGGGCTCGAGCAGCAGGTAGGCGAGTTAGTGCAGACATTGAAGCAGCCTAATAGTCTTATTCCGGGCAGAGGTTTGGCTACACCTCCAGTAGCTCAATGTCAGTGGTGTGAGAGCTCAAATCACCTAGTGGAAGACTGTCAGGCTATGAGGGAGTCTTATACTCCCTAAGAGCAGTTGGACTTCATCGCCAATGCTCGGCGCCTCGACCCGTACAGCAATACGTATAATGAGGGGTGGCGCCAGCATCCCAATTTCTCTTGGAATAGCAACACCACTAAACCACCTGGTTTCCCAGCACCAGTTGGTGGTTTTCAGCAGAGGCAGCCTTTCCAGGCTCGACAGGGGCAAGCCCCCACAGCAGCAGCCCTACCAGCCTAGGCAGGGGCAACCATTCCAGCAGCCCCAGCATCAGTTTGCCAAGCCAGCAGCAGCTCTGGCTCCAGATAATAAGATGACGGAGCCGAAAAACATTATAGCGTCATTCATGACTACCACTCAGGCAACTGTCACGAGGTTGGACCAGAGCATAGCCTCACTGGAGGCAGGTCAGAGGAATCAAGGTGCCATTTTGCAATATTTGCAGAACCAGATGGGTAGCATGGCTCGCCAAAACACTACCAGGGCACCGGGGTCTCTGCCTGCCACCACTATTCCAAATCCGCGTGAGCCTCACCAGCACCAGCAACTAGATGCCATCACAACTAGGAGTGGCAAGACCACATCTGGTGCTCCTGCCCAGCCCAGTCAAGATGAGCCACTACCTGCTTCAACACTTCCAGCTGATAATGCAGAAGTGGGGGGAGACAAAGAAGCACCTGCTCCCAAGCCACAGCCAGTGGTTAAGGAGCATGTACCCCAGCTTCCTTTCCCCACTCGCCTACATAAAGACAAGCTGGAGACTGAGTTTGCCAAGTTCATGGCAATGTTGAAGCAGGTCAACATCAGCATGCCGTTCGTGGAGGCACTGTCGAAGATGCCCAAGTACGCCAAGTTCATGAAAGACCTCCTCACCAACAAGAAGAAACTTGGGGATCTTTCGACAGTGATGCTCAGCGAGGAGTGTTCTGCTATCTTGCAGAACAAGCTGCCCGAGAAGCGCCAAGACCCAGGGAGTTTCACTATCCCTCTTGTTATTGGCAGCATGCATGTAGGAAAGTCCTTGGCGGATCTAGGCGCTAGCATAAATGTCATGCCCTACAAATTGTTTAAAAATCTAGACCTAGGTGAACCTAGAGCTACTAGGATGAGCATTCAGTTAGCTGATCGTTCCATCGTGCATCCTAGGGGTATCATTGAGGATCTGCTTGTTAATGTAGGTGCATTCACATATCCTGTTTACTTTGTTATTTTGGATATAAATGAGGATGTGGATGTACCTTTGATTTTGGGTAGACCGTTTCTCGCCACCACCAAGGCGCTTATTGATGTGCATAGTGGTAAATTGATCCTGCGTGCTGGTGATGAACATGCTACTTTTTCTGTGTCTGAGAATGGGAAACACTCCCATTTGCATGATGACATAGATTACTGTGATGTGCTTGCTGATTTTGAGACCGCACTCGCTATAACGAGTGCGGGTACTGACGATGCTCTTAAGCATTGTATTTTGCTAGGTGAGCAGGCATCGCAGGAGCCGCAACTAGCAGAGCAGTTGGCCGCGCTGGAGAGTGGCACATCCTTGGAGGGTGACCGGTTGTTCAAACCGATCTCATCCTCACCCTGCATCACTAGCTCATAGGAACCACCAGAGCTGGAGCTTAAGCCCCTCCCTCCTCACTTGGAGTATGCATTTCTCCGGGAGGGGAATAAGCTTCCAGTCATCATCAGCTCGACCCTCACACCCGAGCAGAAGGATAGACTGGTGGCCTTGCTGAAGCGGCACGAGCGTGCTCTAGTGTGGAAGATCACAGATATCCGGGGGATCAGCCCCTCCTTCTGCTCCCACCGGATACTGATGGAGGATGAGATGCGGCCAGTGAGATAGCCGCAGACAAGACTGACACCGAACCTGGTGGCCGTGGTTCGGGCAGAGATCGTGAAGCTGCTGGACGCGGGGATCATCTTCGCCATTTCCGACAGCGAGTGGGTCAGTCCCACCCAGGTGGTACCCAAAAAGGGTGGGATGACTGTGGTGCCTAACGAGAAGAATGAGCTCATCCCGATGCGCACGGTGACTGGGTACTATGTCTGCATTGATTACCGGCGTCTCAACGACGCCACTCGGAAGGATCACTTCCCGCTGCCGTTCATTGACCAGATGCTGGAGAGACTGGCGGGGCACGAGTTCTACTATTTCCTGGATGGGATGTCCGGGTACTTCCAGATACCCATTTCACCGGAGGACCAGACAAAGACCAC